AAAGACAAGAAGACGTTCAGTTAAAGGTATCTTAGCTTTTTTTGTTATATTTTGACTTTTGGACTATTTTAGTTCATGGGAGTTTCAACGACTCATCTCAATTTGTCCATGTGAATATTAATTAATATATTGACACACTACGTCTGGACCGCCTGTCCAGCCGACAGCCACGAGCAACGTCGCATAAAAAGTGAATTCAAATTTCTTTTCAGTCTCTATCGTGACTATTCGTACTCGCTTACTTTGTCAAATCTAAGCGAACTCTTCTGCAGCTGAATTTCTATCAACCATATCCAAGTTTATAAAGAGAAAGAAAATTTTGTCATTGCTTATCTACGTCCTTCAAAAAACGTGAAATTAGGCATTTTCACGTGGTAGTCGTGCAGTGACGGCAAAGAAATTTACAAAAAAAAGAGTGATGCACGTGCAAAGTTGTTGTTTTGCCTTGTCAAGCTATTGCTTTTTTTTACTTCTCGTCGCCGCTACATCTTAAACTTCTTTTTATTTACGATACATTGTGATCCGTCAGAAACAGATTTATCTCAGTGCGAGTTGAATTGCTCCTGCTGATAGCATCCAGAACGTTTTTCGACTCATCGGTAGTTCCTTCGTTTCTGGTTAGGAAAGCTTGGTGAACAAACCGGGCAACTGTGGCGAGATAATAGCCGTCGTATACGAACTCACGAAAAGAACTCAGCAGATGCGGTTCGTCGATTCGGCACAATAATACAAAGCATTTTTTCACTGATTTTTTGTGCCCAATCAGGAGCCAGCATTCGTTTGACTGGTTGGAAATGGTCCGGTGAGTGTTGGAATGGTCCGCCTGTGCTTGAAAACTTTCGTCGCGCCTTTTCTCCCGGCCAGACTGACCTCCCCCGGGTCTCCGAGGATGAGGTAATCATTGATTACAGATCTGCGTTGGTCACTTACGGAAACGAAATCCAGTCGAAAGGAGTCCAGTTTCTCGGCTGAGATGGCCCTTATAAAATCAGTGGGGGCAAATTTTAACTCGTATAACTCATGATAACTAAGGGCTCTTTTCCATCGAGGACCGTCGACGATGCTCTGTCACGAAGTTCCATGCACGGCCGTTAGAAATCTGACCTTAGCGATCCTGGCTTTGCGGTTCAAGTTACCTGCACACCCGGTGGACAAGGGGACAATGTTCACTATCTGCCAGACATTTGCTAGCGGGTGGATAAAATATGAGCTAATATGAAACATCAGCAAGTCCACGGCGACAAACCATTGAGTGGTGCCGGATCTCCCAGTTGTAGACCTAGATCAGTACAATCAGAAAATAACTTGTAGAAAACATAAATCGGCAAACTGATCCGTATTGCAAGGCGATGAAGAAATAAATAAAAGAATAAAACAAAAAAATATATCTTTAAACAAATTTGCCCAATATTTCAGTTTGAAAGACAAACCAAGGACGAGAAGTCCAAAGACTACTGCAAAGCTGATTTAAAACAACGTGTATTGTTTTTTATAACAATACTTCGGCTGGCCATACCAGTCTTCTTCAGGTTTACAGGTGTTACTGAACTTATGTAGCAATCACAATATTATATAGATGGAGAATGTCGCAATAAAAGGGAGATGCGGAAATGACGTACAAGTTTAATACTGGAAAGGAAGAATACTAAGGATATGGATTATAATAATTCGTCACGGCGGTTTAGGCCATGAGGTTCAAGAGTCATGGCCTTATCTATCAAATGCGACTCCCTGGCCTTGCGAACTGAGTCACGTGAAGAATGAATTTTCTCTAGTGGGATTAACTGCATGTCAGTATGAGAATGGTTAGAGTGAGAGAGAAAATGTTCAGAAACAGTAGTGGGTTTAGATTTAATGTTAGTCTTGTCGACTGCACGTCTGTGTTCGTTAAATCTGTCCTTGAGACGTCGCTTAGTTTCACCTATATATTGTAAATTACAACGGTTACATTGAACCATGTAGATCACATTTTTAGTGTTACAAGTAATGTGTGAGGTGATGGAGCGTGTTTCACCTGTAGCGTAAAAGGTATAACTTGTGAGGCCGTTAGTAACGTATGGACAAGTGCCACAATTCTGTCCACAACGGAAGGAGCCTGGCGGAAAATGATTGGTGGAGATAACGGGTAGTTGTGCTTTAACTAAAAGGTCACGAAGATTAGAGCTACGTCTGGAAGCAACAAAAGGCGGTTGCTTAAAGACGTCTTTGGAACGGTTAGAGGAGTGTAAGATGTTAAAATGTTTGCGTAGGATATTAGAAATGCGTGGAAGTGCTGGGTTATATGTGACAACGAATGGTACAACATCGTTAGAAGCTTTGGGTTTAGTCTGTAACGCGTTAGTACGAGAAATATTAGCAGCGCGTAGGAACTGTTTTTCTAGGAAATTATTATCATAACCACGAGCAAGGAGATATGTTTTAGACGTGCAGTCGGCAAAACTAACATTAAATCTAAACCCACTACTGTTTCTGAACACTTTCTCTCTCACTCTAACCATTCTCATACTGACATGCAGTTAATCCCACTAGAGAAAATTCATTCTTCACGTGACTCAGTTCGCAAGGCCAGGGAGTCGCATTTGATAGATAAGGCCATGACTCTTGAACCTCATGGCCTAAACCGCCGTGACGAATTATTATAATCCATATCCTTAGTATTTTTCCTTTCCAGTTTTTATGTTGTACGTCATTTCCGCCTCTCCCTTTTATTGCGACATTCTCCATCTATATAATATTGTGATTGCTACATAAGTTCAGTAACATCTGTAAACCTGAAGAAGACTGGTATGGCCAGCCGAAATATTGTTATAAAAAACAATACACGTTGCTTTAAATCAGCTTTGCAGTAGTCTTTGGACTTCTCGTTCTTGGTTTTTATATTTTGGCTGATTTGATCTCTTTTCTAGAGATCCAACGTTTACAACTAGCAGGATCTTCGTCCACGGTATTTCCAGTTAATTTAATCCTTTACTATGAAAGACAAACGTTCTTTAGGGGCTGGCCCCTTCCTTTGGCCCCTGAACGTTTATCTTTCAAACCGAAATATTGGACAAATTTGCTTAAATATATACTTTTTGGTTTATTCTTTTTTTTTTTTTTTTTTTTACTTCTCCATTGCCTTGACGCAAGGATCAGTTTGCCGTTTTATACGTTCTACAGGTGAATTAAAATCCTGACGTTGCACATAATACCTTGTCGAGCGGCACTGATCCCTGAATAGGCAATATAAGGGAGTACCCTTCCCCCGGAGATAAGGAGGAGAAGGATCCGAGGGGAGAAACTCTACACAACGGTAGCACATTTTCTTCTGGCGAATCGCTCCATGATGTTATGAGTATGTCAGGCCTGCAAGGCACGCCCTGAGATTGACATCAAGTCAGCTGTTGAGCAGTACGAGTTCTCAATAGTGCCAAGGTTGGCACTATTGTTCGCACCATGCTTCACGATTGCTTAAAGAGCACCCTAATGGACACTCTTGAAAAGCTGGATACAGGAAGAAACATCGAAGGTTACACTAAAGAGGATTTGCATGCCAGTTCATACGGGGGTAACAGCTTACACAGAAGATCTGACTACTCAATGGCAAGAGAGTGCAGGCTGTTGAAAAACTGGACTGGACTGAGAGTTGTTCCTACCTGGCTGACTAATTCCACCATATTTTTTCACCGCGCACATATTTAAGAAGTACAATGGTATCTTTGAATTGCGACATATCTTTGTCAGGTTAGTAAGTTTCAATTTTAAACTGAGAATAAACGCCTTTTAATCACCGTAGTAAAATTGACAATAATTGTTTTATCTTTAGGTGAGATGCGGCATTCTCCATAAAGATAATGACAGTGGAGCAGTGGAACCGATATTACCGGGAAGCTTCGCTGGTAGAGGAAAGCTGGCCTGTTGGAAAACATTTCTTGAAGCTGAAGAAGATGCGGTCTATTGCACTTGCCTACATCAAGAGCCGTTGCCGCAATTGAGAAGTTAGTCTGCCAGCTATAGCAGCCAGAGACTCGAATTTCTAGTGTGAAAGAACTCCTGAGGTGATTACTGATCTATCCGAAAGAGGGATACACAATCTGAAAGAACGAGAGCAAATTGCGAGCACATTACCAGACGATGATATGACCCAATTACAAGGTACCAAACCCGGAGCTGCCGCCACCCGAACGCATAGCGATAATCACGCTGAAGTCACCTGAACGGGCAAGGGCCAATTCCAAAAACACAACACGTTCACGATCAGCAAATGTTTTTACTATTAACGAAGGTGAAGTCAAATTGTTAACAACTTTGACTTCTCCTTTGACGCACGTCAAAGATGAAGTCAAATGAATCAATGCTTTGCTATTCCTTTAACCCTTATCAAAGTCGTTGTCAAATATGCTGGTAACTTTGACTTTACCTTTGACGCACGTCAAAGATGAAGTCAAAAGTGTAGTGGCTGTGACCATACCTTTGATACTAGTCAAAAATGAAGTCAAATACGACCGCTACACTTTTACAACACTCTTGAATGGTGCTGAAAAGTGAGAGCAAATATGCAATGAATTACGTCTACAAACACTTATGTCGAAACAGATATTGAGAAAGGAAATTAAAAAGCTGTATTTGAATACTGTTTTAAAGATATTTATACGACAATACCGAACACGGGCGGGTAATCATTGTACTTGCTGTTTTATAATTATTTTTGAAAATGTTCTAGAATAAGTACTTTTTCGAAGTGATTTTTTTTTGTCTTATCTTGAGTGGATCATTTTCTCCTTGATCGATCAATATACCATGTAATGACATCGACGCAAAACAATGACTCAACAACTGGACGATGGAAGACTGAACCCAAGCAAGACACCCTGTTTTTGGCGCGAAATTGTCGCGGCTGCAAACTCTCTCCGCCCGCGCAAACAAACAAACCACGCAGATCTGAAGAAAACAAAAGCTGCTTTTGTGTACGAAGCAGTCCAACTTTTGTTAACAAATATTTTCACCCTTATCTTTGATAGAGTTTAGACCACAAACTTGTTCAAAAGGTACGTGTCATTCTTTTTTATGTGTTCATGCAATAGTTGTTCTTCAAACTTCATAGTTGTTTTACTGTGTTAAGCTTACGGAAACCAACTCCGAACAGGCGTGTATGTCGTGCTTGGGAGCTGTTGGGAGCTTTTCTGATTGTTAAATCTGGTTCAGTAAACTATAAAAATGTTTCTATATTACAGTAGAGTTTACATTAGATCAAGCCCTTTTCTCTTAATAGGGTTAGTGCATTTCTGCAAAAGTAATAGCTGGCTTATATTTCACAATGCAATTCAAGTCAAAACTCCATGCGAGAACCTACTAACATCAAGATTATAAACCAACTCTGGTTTTTCTAACAGTTATACTTAACTACGAAAACTACTTCAGGGTAATGAAATAATATAAGACTTACATATATATTTTTTTCATGGACAGTGGACTTCAATAAAAATATCTGTACCAGACTTTGATGGGCATATTTCTGAAGAAAGTACATAAGCTTATTTGAACAGGATTCAGTGCAGTTTATCAAACAAAGAAGTGTGGTTATTTGAAGACTTCGGATGTTTTACAGACGTGAGTATCTCTTTCTATTGATTTTTCTGGGTTCTATACGTAATGGGGCTCGGGCTGCATAATTTTTAAAATATTCCATTGATGTTTGTGCCACCACAGTGGCAGCTAGGTATGTTTCAACATTTAATAATAATCATTCAAACATACCGAGCTGTCCCTTCTTTATTGTGACTGTACAATAACTTTAAAAATAGCCTGCGAAGCAAGCTTTTCCGAGCGAGTTTTCTGCAAGAGACTAAGTTTGTAGAGGGCAAAAAAAGAGGAAGGAGGGGCCGGGAGGGGCTAACTCGCGCAATAACTCTATTGGAAACGCTTGTTATGCAGGCTAGGTATAATATAAAGTGTTCCTTTAGTTTAATTTTAAGCTTTGGGCATGGAGGGAAATTTTCATTGAATTTTCCTGGACTTAATTAAGTGATAATAAGGCTCGATTCAAACGTCAAATTTCACAAATGACGAACTTAATGACAATGCATGTACACGAGATGTAATGTTCCCATTCAAAACCATTAGGTTCGCTACACATTTTTAATCGGGTCTTTAAGTTTTGATAAAGGTAAAGGGAAAGGGGAATTTTCTGCAGGAAAGGAGCGATAGTAAAAAGGGAGTGGGGACGAAAAATGTATTTGAAACACTACGACTGAATTTTTTATCTCAAATTGTTATATTCTTTTACAATTATTTCACAGATAAAAGAAACAAGGCAAAGTGATAAGTCTCCAGTGGAACGAAACAAACAACAGAGGAAGATTGAAGTTAGATACATGGCGTTTGTCTTTCACTTACATCAAGAATCAAAAGCACTCTAG